TATGATCCAAGGCTATACCATTAGATTCGAATATATTTTTATACGACTAGGTCGCTTGCCATTCAAAATTTGGAAATCATAAATAATAAAAATTATAGTTATGAAAAGGATTGTGATATGTAGTGGATATTTGTTGTCATTTCTTTTAATTATAAACAAAAAAATTGAATTGATATTTTAAATAGTTATAATAATTAAACAAACTTAAAAAAAATCGTAAAATTTTACTTCATCCAAATAAGAATTCAAACTGTAACTATATATGTCAAACATAGGTGTTCACACTTATTAATTACTATGAAAGGAACAGTCATCGTCATGTTTTAATTAATAAATATATTTAGTTGAACTTATATTTGTGTGACTTTAAAGTTTATATGAAAATTTTCATACATGTTTTGATTAATAAGGCCATGTTCGTTTCTCCATCCAGATGGACCATCTAGATGAATCATCCAGATGATGTTCGTTTAACACTAAAAATAAACATCATCCAGGATCATCTGGATGATCCATTTGGATAAATTTTAAAATCTTAGGCAAAATTTCGAAAATTATGTGGATGACTTTGATTGGATCATCCGGATGAAGATGGTTCATCCAAAAATGACAAATGACAAATATACCCTTATTATCCAAATAACCTATTTTCCACAAAAATTATAAAAAGTATTTTTGCAAATATCTCATATTTATTTGTTAAAAAAAATAATAATAATATTTCCGTCAAAAACGAAAATCACGTTTTCCCGCCAAAAAAAAAAATCACGTTTCCCGCCAAAAAAAATCACGTTTTCCCGCCAAAAATAAATCACGTTTTCCCGCCAAAAATAAATAAATCATGTTTTCCACTAAAATGAAAATCATTTTTTCCCGCCAAAAAGGAAAAAAGAATATCATATTTTCCCGCCAAAAACGCAAAATTATGTTTTTCCGCCAAAAATTATAAAAATTACTTTTCCGCCAAAAACGCAAAATAACGTTTTACCGCCAAAAATATAAAATAACATTTTCTAAATCTTATAAATTATATTTCATGAAATAAAAATTTTGAATGTCAAAAATATTAATTTATAATTTTTGTGTGTTTATTTTTAATCATTAATTAAAATTACTATAGTGTAATTAATATTAATGTGAAAATTAGATTAAAACATGGGTATTTTAGTCATTTTTAAAATCAAACCCACCTAGATGAAGATGCATAATGGAAAAACAAACACATAGTCATTCAAATGGATCATCTAGATGAATCTTTTTATTTCTTGTTCGTTTAGTCATTTAACATTCAGATGAGTTCATCAAAATGGGGTAACGAATAGGGCCTAAAATTCTCATGCAAAATGGTGTAATGAATTTTAAGGAAACGATGTCTACATGGGAATTATTAAATCAAGTGATCTATATATAATTTAAAAGCAAAAATAAAAACTATGATTTTTGTTTTCACTCATTGTGCATGCTTAACACCTTATTTAGGCTTGTTAATTGAGATTTTTCTATAGGCCTTTTGATTGCTATTTTTAATAAATTGATGTCATGGTCAAAACCATTATAATAGTCTAACGTTATAGCTCATGGCTGCATTGTATGTGATTATGCGTGCCTCAAGGCATTGAATTTGCATTCATGCCGGAACTAAGCTTATACATCAAATTCATGAAGGACTGACTAATCCGCTACAAATTAGTCTTCATTTTATTTTATATAAGTGCATACAGTATCCATTACTAACACTATACAATACATTAGGAACACAAAATTGAAGATGAACCTGTCCAACCGAGCCTATGATGAAACAAGCCGCGGCCAAGCATTTCTTGTCCCCCCCCCCCCTCCAAAAAAAAGACATGCATCCGCACCTCAAAGCCCCAGTGCAGCAGCCAGCCTTTCCCCTACTATCACTTACTCAAACCAACAACCATTTGATGTTTTCCACCGGGTAAGCCCTAAAACCTAATTTTGAAGACCCGAGAGTTCTATGTATCCCTACACATACATAGGACTCTCGTGATAAGGACATCGATCTAGCCCCAATCATCAAACACGCAACTCATGGACCGGGCAGGTGATCCATCACTGGTGCGAGCTCAAATCTCTCTCAATTCAATGGAGAGGGTAGTCTGGACGTACCGTTCATACCAAACCACTAATGATCCCGTCAATGACTCGATTCATGATGCACAATAAGTTCAACACTTTCGTTGGAAAGCTACTCGACACCATGGATTAAGCACTACACGACCTCGCGTTTCAACAGCTATTAATTAACACTGATTCCTCGGACAAGCTAGACGAAAGACAAGACAAAACCACTTGCATGGATAGAATAATTTATTGAAAAGTGAGGGACACCAACCCTTTGACGTTCTTATTTCGGTGTATTTAATTTGTTACATTTTATTTTGTTTTCCAATTTAAAAGAGGTTGATATTCAGTTATTCACGTCCACTATGTGGTACACATATATTCTTTCAGTTTTATTTTTATCTATCTCATTCTAGTTTAACTTCTAACACATTTTAAGTTATTTTTTTTACAATGAAGTATTTGAACATTTTAGTTATAAATTGTTGGTAAATTTAGCATATTAGTAAAAAAATATTATAATATCTTTAGCTCACTTAATATTGTAGATTTAAATTTGTGTTATATTATCAAAAAGTTAAATAATAATACTATATATTACATTCTTATACAGAGTTGTAATTTTGCATTTTTAATTGATAAATTATATAGCGAGTCTAAACAGAGCTACTTTACATGGAAACTCTTTTCGATGTGCGTCTCCCGTTTCCGAAACGTTTCAGAAACAGAAACTCAGAAACTACCCATGGAAACACGATTCCTAAAAATTTCCATTTGGAAACTCGATGGAAACTCTCGTTTCCGTTTTGGAAACTCTCGTTTCCGCTTTTAGATTATAAAATATAAAATATAAGATATATATTGTGATTAAAAAAGAAAGATTGTATCTATCTCTAATAAAAAGATGTATAATTTCTATAAATATAAAGTATGGTCCTAATCATATGTGGGATGTTGGAGGTGATCAACTTGATTCACTAAATGAATAAATGAATCTAATTTTGGGAGACAAGATATTTTTCTAACACTAAAGCTTAACCATATAATTATATTGAGTATGAAAATGTAATGAAAAAAAAAACAAGTAGTTTCTAATTCTAATGCATGCAATTACAAAGCAAAACATAATCAATGTCAAAGCTGATGACTAATTTGACGGATTTTACGAACATAATACACACATACTTATATTGTACAAGACGTTAATGTTTTACAATAGTTTTTGTTTCTTACAATTTATTTATATATTTATTAAGTATAATTTCTTGCTTTACTCTTCGAGGCAAAGTTAGTACCTGTGCTACCGCACGAATTATATTTTACTTTATACAAAATTTAATATATATTCTATTTTAAAGAAGATTGCGTCAACAATGGTCAGGGCGACCAATGCCAAATAAACCCAATGTAAAGAAAACTCAAGAGAACTATGGTTACATGGTTCATCGAGGATGCTGAAGTCTTCGGTGAAAGATCCTCAAGATTATGTAAGCGACTTTGAAGTAAAAAGCCAACGAGAAAAAAAAATCGTCGGTCAATGTCATTGCAAATGAAAAAATATGAAGAAAAAACTTGTGACTGTGTTTATTTCAACTATTAGTTTTTTTATTTTTTTCTCTTCTCTAATTTAATTGTTACTTTTGCAAATGAAGAAATCTGAAGATAAATTGTCCAAAGATTTTTATAATAGAAAAAGAGTTTTAAAGTCAAGAAGTATGAACTATTATTATTATTTTGTAAGCCTTATATCAGTTTTAAAATATATAATATATTATATAAACCACATTATATTTAACCGCTGGACCATTAATTTCTAGATATATATAAGTCTTATTTAAAATATAAACTTAAATATTTTTTCATTTTTTCCATCTATTTTTTTCTTATCATAACTTTATTTAATGGTCGAAGTTTAAAACTATTATTCTATAAACTAGCCTACTCCGAACCACTATACACTACACAATACACAGTATCATAATTATCGAATTGGGGACGATAGAAATATATATGGTTAGAGCTGAGCTAAATTAATCAGAAAAATATTTTTTATGGTAAAAAAATGCATAATATTATCAACTTGCATTTTAAATTGAATACAATATTCAAAAATGTTAAAGACAGAAATTGCATAAAATTTTAGACATCATATATATATATCTAACAACATGTAACTAATTAATGGCTCTTAGCATTGGAGGACTACAAATTTAAAAACACCATTTGGGGTTCTCTTGTTGTGGCTGCTCTAAGTTATTAATCTAGTGACAAGATATCAAATTCAAATGTTAATATTATTATTATTATTATTATTATTATTATTATTATTATTATTATTATTATTATTATTATTATTATTATTATTATTATTATTATTATTATTATTATTATTATTATTATTATTATTATTATTATTATTATTATTATTATTATTATTATTATTATTATTATTATTATTATTATTCAGAAATTAACTAAATTGCAGTAATTTAAAGTGGAAAAACTCTACAAGGTTCAAACTTCAAACTAGATATCCATTTTAGCTTAGTGACGTTGAAATGTTTTCCAAAACTATTGAAAGATGCATTAAAACCTATACAGCTGTGTGAGATTGTGATATATTAAAAGATTTTTACATTTTAGCACATAAATAACATCTTTTAAAACTAAATACAATAATATCAATATATACTCGAATGGTAGATAAAATTATTACTCTGTTAACAAGCCTACTCCACTACTCAGTAGTCAGCAGTGCTCTCACTTTGGAAATTAGTAGCTGTGGAATCTTAAGATGTTCACGTGAAAAAAAATGAAACCAAACTAGTAAAAACAGAAGTTACAGTAACGGTAATAAAAGTATCTATATATGTTCTAGTGTCTACGTTACTCATAACTCATAAGCACTCAAATACCTAAACTCTTTTAAACAATGGCTTCTTGTTCTTCCACCAAGCTTGTTGTGGTCTTTGCTTACCTTGTTCTCCTCACATTTTCAGACAACCTCGTGACTGGAGAATCCGACAATGTGAAGCTCAATCTTTACTATGAATCACTTTGTCCTGGTTGCCAAGATTTCATTGTCCATTATCTCGTGAAAGTCTTTGACTCTGATCTCTACACTATCACTGATGTCAAGCTGGTTCCATTTGGTAATGCCAAAGTCTCCAAGAATCTTACTGTCACTTGCCAGGTTCTTTTCCATTTCTTCCTCTTCTTGTTGATAGATTGATTAAAACAAGTATATGGTTTTTCGCTTTTTCGATCGAGTAAAGCTTGTATATAACTTTCTCTAATTAAGTAAAATTTTGTGAAGCATGGTGAGGAGGAATGCAAACTAAACGCCCTTGAAGCTTGTGGTATAAGAACTTTTACCGATCCGGTATAGAGTGAATGCATTTTATTTGCTATGTTTATATATTTACCTAAAAAGTTTTATAAGAATTTCATTTTGAAAATGTGATCATGGTTTTGTGATGCAGAAATCGCATTACTGGTTCATAAGGTGCGTTGAAAACGATACAAAACACTGGGAATCATGTGTTAAGAATTATGGATTTGAGAAATATATCTATGATTGTTACAATGGTGATATCTCTAAAGAGGTATGTATACATTACACATTTTTATAAAAAGAACTCATACTATATACATATATTTTATAACCTATAACCATTTTTTTGTTGTTGTTTGTTATAATTGCAGCTCATACTTGAATACGCAAAACAGACCATGAGTTTAAAGCCACCACATGAATACGTACCATGGGTCACACTCAACGGCAAACCTCTAGATGATGTATAACTTCTTTGTTCATTTACATTTTTGAATCGATTTAGAAATGTTACATTGGCGGATTTGTGATTTTCTTTATGGCGACGCAGAGTGTACAAAGCTTGGATGATTTCGTGGCTCAAATCTGCAAAGCTTACAAAGGAAAGGCTCCTCTCCCAAAACTTTGTGATTCTTCTGTCTTAATGCCTAAGTCGCCTAAGAGGAAAGTGCCGAAGCTTCAAGTCTCCTATGCCGATAAAGCTATCAATAACTAAGATGAATGTAACTTTATGTTATGGTATGATAATTAATAAAGAAACACCTTTAATAAGATGAATGTAAGCTTTATGTTATGGTATGATATTATCAAAGAATCATCAGTCACTAAGTTAATTATGAAAGTTCTTAGTGAACTAAGATTAATATTAAACAATGCATGTAAGCTTTATGTTAAGGTATGATAATAAAGAAACCTCTTTCTCTAAACTTTTATAACAAATAGAAATGCAACTCTACTAGGAAGTATTGATCATGAGTATTGAGCAATATCAGCATAGTCATACACTGACCAGTAATCATACTAAGCTATAGATCCAATTCAACTCTAACTTAGAATATATATTTTGTTTGTAGAATCTGATAAAATTTAATAGATAAGTTAGATCGATGAGGATTATTCAAATACATGAGACACTTATTACGTTTCTCACAATAATATTCTTATTCCATGAGTAAACTCGATCTAAATGAGTTTTCAAATGTTATTCATCTCTACCATGGTGGCAGTAGTTCATCTTTTTAGTATCGTAGTTCTTTGAAAACATGATCTATGTTTTGTCCCCAATCTCCATTGTACAGCTCCAAGAGCTTATGTGCCTGCGTAGTCCCTATTTTCCAATGATAATTACCACATTATTAGGTAACCAGGAAACAAAAATTCACTTGTTTGGTTACAAGAAAATTAGTAATTATACAGCTAACATGAAGCAACATACCTGTTCTAACCACCTCGGCGACAGGGTTCAAGAAACTGGTTTCATTGTACCCTCTACGCTCCAAACCATCCTAAGCAATAAACAAAAACCTCAATATGTATACATTTACATTATAAGGTGAAAGTATGCACACTTACCACTGCTAGCTTGAGGACATCTTCTGCTACATGTTGTAAAGAACCACCTCTAAACATTGTCTGTAGGCCAGTGACTGGAACCTGTTTGAAACCTAGCTAGTGAGAATTGGTTTACACGATTATATATATATCGTATAGTCACACAATTAAAGAAATATCTTCTCAGTTTACTTGTGTTCTAAGCATCTCTCTTTCTTCAAGATTCCAGTCAGCTATCATATCAAGAACAGTTTGGAGAGAGTTCTCATCGTATAGCAATCCCACCTGATCGTTCAAACACATTCGAGATAAACCCGCGAAACAAAAATTCTTATAGCTTTGTATAAGATAATGTAGTTACCCAAAAAGCTGGTAGGGCACATAACATCGGCCAAGAACCTGTATCAGCACCTCTCATCTCCAAGAATCTCTTTAACCGGACCTAATAGTGTTATTACAAAAGATTATTATAAGAAAAAAATGTCTCTAGACCACGATAAGAAACAGAGAAGTTCAATGCTATGATTAAAACATAGTAATCAACCTCTGGCCATATTGTTCCTATATGAATTTCCCAGTCGCTTATGGTGGGTTGTTCATTTGAGAGATGAGACATTTTCCCGGACAAGAAGTCCTGAAAAGTAAAAAAAAAAAGGTTGGGATCTTAACCTAGCTCAAGAATATTTCAAAGGTTAGAAATTTAAGAAGATGTAGACCCGAAATGTTATTCCTCTACAGTTTACATAGCCTTTGTTTCGATGTAAGAAGTACATTGGAATGTCAAGTGCGTATTCAACATACCGCTCAAACCTATATCAACATATTGAAGGTTGAACATAGATTTTAGGAAATTTTTTGATCATAGAGTTAGTTAGAATAAAGATTATATACTCACCCGAATGAGTCATCGAAAACAAAAGGTAGCATCCCCGTTCGCGCTTTATCGGTATTAATGTACAAATGACTGTGACAAAATGTTGATAGTTGAGAAAATTATACTGAGAAATGGTACCAACTAGTACTAATGTAGAAACCAACCTCCTTACGCTTAAACACCCAGTTGGTTTTCCATTACTAAAAGGGGAATTTGCGAATAGAGCAGTCGCGATCTGTATGATAACAAAATAACAACAAGTGAGAAAACATTTTGTTTATGAAATCCAAAAACCATTAATGTTAAAAGAGATTCAAGCATCTCACAGGTTGCAAAGCTAGACTAGCTCGAAACTTCCTAATCATATCGGTTTCTGAACTATAGTCTAGATTGACCTGGACAGTACAAGTTCTCATCATCACATCATATCCTTCAGAGCTAGCTCTTGGTTGGTAGTCTCTTATAAAGTCAAACCTTCTCTGCATATGTGAAACACTTTGACTCATCACAAAAATAGTTAGTGTAAAACACACTTAAGTAATACGAGAACTTATATGTTTGTAGAGATAGGAACCTTGGGCACAATGGTTGCATCCTCAAGAGAAGATTTTGGTTCATAGCCAATGCCTAGGAAACCAATTTCCAATTCTTCAGCAACAGTCTTCACTTGGTAAAGATGTGAATGGAGCTCATCACAAGTTTGGTGCAAAGTCTTTAGAGGTGCTCCACTTAGCTCTAGTTGGCCTCCTGGTTCCAGTGTTATGCTTTGCATTCCCTTTAATAAACACATCCAAACAAAAAAAGTTGAAAATTTTATTGTCATAATTGGATATTTAGCAAAAGAACAAAAGAGAGTAGATATTAACCTGTTTCAAGCCAATAATTCTTTCATTCTCCATCACCTTATCCCAATCAAATCTCTCAGCAATACCATTAAGCAAAGAAGCTATCTGTTCATATTTCATAGGTCGCAAAGTCTTGACCTCGAAACCGAGTTTCTCATTTTCTGTACCTATTCTATATATACCCATCCCAAGAGATAAAACCATACAAAAATGAGTTTGAACAAATAAGTAGTTTGATATATGAGGTGATGATCCTTATTAATTAGTGGTACCTCCACATTTCCTTTGGTTTGCATCCAGAAGCAAAAAAGGCAATGAGATCTTCTTTAGTCAAGGGCGTCTCAATTACAGAACAAGTGTTTGCAATTGCCTTATTACTCCCTTGATTGCATGCAACTATCTTGCTTCTTTTACAAGTAAGAGGTGGCTTGGGTGAGAAGTTAACATGGCTTTTTAAAGCATTCGAGTTTATTACAGCACCAACTCCAGAAGGTGAGAGTGAGAACGCCATATGCATGGTTTAGATTCTGCAGGAACTATTATAATTTATAACCCATAGATATTTATATTAGTCATCTGTCTCTTCAAATGAATTAAGTCTTGTTTAGAGTATAGTTAATTCCATAATATAGTCAATATATACTTTAAAAGGTATGGTCAATATATATGTTGTATATACAAGAAAATCTAAAACACAGATTTTCTTTAAGATTTTAGCAAAAAAATCCAAATCTAAAGGTATGGCAAATCCAAATCTAAAGGTATGGCAAATCTTGCAAAAAGATTTTAGCAAGAAAATCCAAATCTAAAGGTATGGCAAATCTGTAAGATTTTAGCAAAAATGGCAAAACCACAAATGTCATCACAGAAAATGGCAAATCTATAATTGATTCTGTATGGATTGTAGTCCACCTATATTTTGCTTGTATAAAAAAAATTTAAAGAAAACTTAATGTTTATATTTTTATTGCATTTATTATTTTTAAACAACTAAAAAAGTTAATGTTTATATTTTTTTTTGGCTAAAATATATACTTTATAGTAAATAATAAACTTTAAGAATTAATGAAACTGATAAACTTAAACATAACGAGTAAAACATATGTTTAAACGCATTTTTGTAGCCTGAAAAATGGCAATTCTATAAGATTTTAATTAAGAAGAAAAGCAAATCTAAAAACTTGCTTAAAACAAATTGCAAACTCATAATTGATTCAAGAAAGAAAATTATTCCTTAAAAAATAATGTGAAGATGGTTCAACAACAAACAAAGATATATAAACATAAGTGAGGAGCTAAGAAAAAAAACAAGAAGTACAACAAGAAGAAGGAGAAGAATCACCTTAATTTAATTGAGGCCTGAAGAAGATGAGAAGCAATAAGCTGAAGTTGAGGTAGTGTGATGCTGTACTGTACTATACACGTAATGATACCCGATATTGCAAATATTGTTATTATTGTGGTCTGTAGTCTGTATATATTGTTAGGTATAGTTATAAATATAGTAATAATGATTCTTTAGTGCTATATATATATATATATATAGTAAAATTTTATTGTGATGTGTGACCATTATTGTGGTCTATACATATTGTTAGGTATAGTTATAAATATAGTAATAATGATTCCATTAGTACCATTGGCGGAGCTAGAATTTATATTTATGGAGGTCAAAATATAAAAAATAAAATTTATAGGGGTCCATTTTATAATTTAACAGGGGTCAGTTTGATAATTTTAAACAAAAATCAACTAATGTTGAAATTTTATCAGGGTTTGACCCATGTGCTTGGTCATTGCCTCCACCCCTGATTAGTACTATATATACTAGTTTTGCACGTGGTATACCGCGGGTATTTGTTTGTAAAATAATTTTTTTATAATACTTGATGTTTTATAGTATGTTGTATTTTTCTGTTTATAATGATTAAGTTAGTAGCTGATAATATGAACATAGATTTTTTTGGTGTTTAAATTTGATTTGTATTTACAGCGTCTTTATAAGAGTATGTTAGATTCCGGAGTTTGTTTGTGTGTATAACAGATAATTTTATTTAAAATTGTAGCTAGTAAGTGTTGGACATTTGTTTTCTTGAGTATAGTATACCTTATTACTATTTTTGTTATTAAAAAATAGTTTGAATCAAGTTTTTGTTTATGTTTAACAAAAATATATATATATATAAATATTAGTATTTGATTATTATTTGGTACTTGATTCAAAGTATAGTTAAGATTGTTACCTTGTTGAATTGAAACGCTATCAAAGTATAGTTAAGATTGTTACCTTGTTGAATTGACAACGCTATCACCTTTTAATTAATTTCTGAGATTCTGGAAAATATCTTTATACACAACATTCATCGTTTGCTTTTTTAATAACCGGTGGGAAAATTTATATAAATTTCCTTGTTTGATGGTTTGGCTCATGAATGTAAGATACAATATATATAGGTAGGAAGGCTCATGAACTTTTTTTTTTTTTGGTAAATTGACGGGAGTTAGTGCCCTCCCTATGTTTTATTAGTAAAATTTAAAAATTATACATAAAATTCTCTTGGCTGAGGTAAACCAACAACATCCTCATGCAAAAACATCGCCACAATTGGCGGAATAACAT